TGATTATGATTACCTTGGTTATACAAGGATTGTGGTGTGCTAATGAAAGTGCATGTGTTTGTATATTATGTGAAATTGACATATTATAGTGTGGACGTGGTTTACTCATACGAGCTTTAGAAAGCTTACCGGGTTGTTCTGTGGTGAACCCGGTGCACTATTCAATGGTGTAGGGGAAAATCCTGCAGGTGGTAGAGACCGTGAGCAGGAGATTTAAGGTGAGGAGCAGGAGGCTCGTTGGTGGTTCCACAAAGTGTAAAGTGTGGTGTGAGAGTGTTGGTGAGTGTTAGACTTCCGCTGTGTGAAATGAACTATGAGGAGCAGATTTTGTAATTTAATGATTGTTCATTTATTATGTGAGTTTGTAATGTAATATTTGACTCAGAAGAGTTGAGTCATTATTGACATTGTGGTTCAGAACAGTGGTGTTGTATCAAGAAAGAAAAGTTTAAATTTCTAGGTACTTTTGTTGAAGGTTCCGAGCTTCGCGTCCCGGATCGTTGGTTGTTCTGTTTAATTTTGCAGATTATTTGTTGTTGAAAATTCGGGGCGTGACACTTCCAATAACAGTTTTTACATTCCTGGCGGAATTGGCCCTAATAGACATTATCTAATAATGAAAACAAAGGCATCTGTAGAAGATTTGTTTGACAAGCAAAACAAAACGGAGGTAATGTTGTTAAGAAGCTAGCAAGAGGATATCAGAATTTCACATTTCTGATGTCTTGCACGTGATAGGAAGAAAATATCGCTGTGGACTAGTCAAGAATCAAGTGTAGGAGGAGTAGCCAAAACACCTCCTGAGAAGAGAACTATATGAAGGCATTCAGATGTAAAGAAGCATAAGAATACAAAGTGCTTGAAAGTATTAGACATGACTCAGTCAAATTAGATATTGAACAACTGAACAAACAAAGAGTCGATTTGTCATCTGTCATGAATAGACCTCCACAACCTGGAAATTAAAGTTAGAGACTAAGACATAATTAACTCTTGAAATAGTGCAAATTGTTTAACATCAAAAGCCCCTAAAAATACCAACAGGAGTTGGTCCAAGTGGAAGGGGCTTGGATCCTTTAAACAAGAGGTCCTGGGTTCGATCCCAGGCACTTGCGAATAGAGCAAACTTTGTTGGGAGAGGTCCCCGCTTTGCGCCCGACAGTACCTCGAGGGTTAGTCCCCGCAATCACGCGGAGGATACCTTGGTTTTCAAAAAAAAAAAAAACCCCTAAAAATTCATTACTCCAGCCAGCAGTCTACATCATTAACTTTTTTAAAAAAAAAGTAATTTTATAAGGGCCAATATTTTAAAATAAAAAAGACAAAAGTCAAGTGTCGCTTTGAGGGTACTCTACTTAGCAGGCACGTCCCGAGACTGAAAACTCTGAAACCTCTGAAAACCTCTCGTCTCTCTGAAATCAAATCCCTAATCTCTCTGAAACCCCTCACCTCCACCGTCGCTGTCTCCTCTTCTCCGTCGCTGGGTAAGTGTTGAATACGGTTTGAATTTGGATTTTCGGCTAGATTAGGGTTTCGATTGGGGGTTTTTTATATATACTAATTTGAGGGTTTTGATTTGAGTTTCGATTAGAGTGTTTTTTATTGGGTTTTCTGCTAAATTGGGGGTTTGGATTTGAGTGGGTTTCTCCTAAATTAGGGGTCGGCTACATTAATTTGAGGGTTTAAGTAGGGGTTAAATAAGGTTTTTGTTTTCTGAATTTCATATTGATGGGGGTTTTTCTGTTTTTGGACAGAAATTGAGCAAGTTGAGCTAGGGTTTTGCTGTGCTGGTGCTGTTGGTGCCGCTATTGAGGTATAATTGAACTTTAATAATGTAATTAAATGTATATGTTGATTTTCTGTTAGGTTTGATTGAGACTGCTAGGGTTTAGCTGTTCTTTTGTGTGTGGGAATTGTTTACATGGTTTTCTGCTAGAATTGAGTCTAAATGCATGTGTTTTTTAATTTATTATATGGTTGGTTGGTTAGGATTTCTTGTTTTCTTGAATGATATATGTTTAAATGGCTGCTGTTGTAATGAAAAATGTTTAGCCTGATGGTTGGTTAAGATTTTTTGAATGAAATATGTTTAGCTGGCTGATTGGTTTTGGGTTTATTAAGGCAGTTGAGGGGGCAGGTTTTAGGGACTTTATCCATAAGCTTAAACCCAAATTCAAGATCCCTAATAGGGATCCTTCACATAGAGTAGACAAATTAAACATAGAGATCCTTGACATATAATTATACTAGCTATAATCTTTCTTGGTCTATTAAGGCTTTTGGGGCCTGAGATTAAATTAATCTAAGCTTATGGAATATAACCCAATGTAATGTCATTAAGGTGGTTTATACTCTGCTTATTAGTTTCCACTTTGGCATGGTACATGTGATTGTACTTTGTTTTTGTAACATTTCTGAAATGGTAACATATTTAACACTTCTGTTATTTACTCATCATCTGAAATTTGGGGTTTTCTTTCATTCTTTTGAAGATATGGAAGCTCTAGATATTGAAGCTCTAGATATGGAACCTCCGGCTCCAGCTCCAGCTCCAGCTCCAGCTCCTTCCCCACATGTAAGTAACTCATTGCCCATTTTATTTCAGATATTGCAAGGCTGGCCAGCAGTAGTATAACTAGACACTAATATGTGTTTTTTTTTATAGACGCCACATGAACCGTTGAACAATTTGGTGCGTTGGCCAATAACTGAGGAACTTAGGGAGGCATTAACTAGGATAGGTTTAGGGTTCTTCGAACGTTTTAAGTTCCAAATGAGGTTGGATTGTACCATGGTAAACGCTTTGCTACGACACTTTGATCGTAATTTAAAGTGTTTTACCTTTAATGGTAATTCACTCTATTTTAGTTTAGTAGATGTCCTCCTCATCACCGGTATGCCGGTTGACGGTAGACCAGTTATTGGTAGGATAGGGAAAACCGAAAATTTATTTTTTAATGCTTTTGGTATCGATCCTCCTCCAGAGTCTTTGGATGGAGGGAGGATTAGGCTTAGTTGGTTAAGAGAAAAATATAGTAATAACCCAGTACGTTCAGATGAGGATGGGTGGGCACACTATCTTAGAGCCTACATCATGTATGTCATTGGGTCATATTTAATACCCGATGACTGCACTGGATTAGTTTCTGCCCAATATTTGGGGCTCTTGGACAATCTTCAGGAGGTTGGCAGCTATGCGTGGGGTGCAGCCGCATGGGCGAGCTTGTACAACTCTTTGGATCGAGGAATCGTAAACGGCTTGGCCTACGCTCTCATGGTAAGTACTCTGCATAATTTATATCTTTTTTGCATGACTCAATATTAAACATAACCACTCACTTTAACTAAACTTGGATTTGATGTTTTAACTTCTCTACTTTTATGATCTTTGTTTATTACTCGTCCAGGTATTTGCAATAGAGCATATAAAGCCACTACGTATAGAGCTGATAGGGGAGACAGTGGATCTCCCGATGGAGTGTCCATTAATGGTGTCGTGGTCCCACCTTCTCCACAAACGCTTGAAGGCGAACACAGTTCCCAAGTTTGGAGTCTACATGCACATTTTGGGGAATGTGACTGATGAAAATGTAAGTCTTTTAAAAGTTAAAAGACTTATTTAAATACAGTTCTTAACTAAATGCAACCAAATTTTGGAGCGTATATGGAAATATAGTTCTTATGTGATTTATTTTGTATTTACTATTGTAGTTCATACAGCGGCCTTATCAGAGGCTTAGCCATACTCTTCTAGGGGAGGGTTATGAGCGATATGCCCTTCAGCTGGCTAAGGCATGCTCAGTGACTTTGTGCATCAATTATCACATAGTCGTCCCTCACAAGCCAAACAACTATGCTAGGCAGTTTGGTTTCGAGAATATAGACCTGGATTCGATTCCTAGGTTTTGAGAATATAGACCTAGATTCGATTCCAGAGCTTCCTGATGTGGTGGTTGAAGTAAGAAAGAAGGGGCCAAAGAAAGATTTAAATCTTGCTGACCACGGACACTTTCCCCTGTACATTAACAGCTGGCTTGGTAGGTTTCCTTTGAGAGGGCCACGGATAGGTAAGTTCATTCTGGTTTCTTTGATTTTTTTTAATTATTCTGATTTTTATAGCCGCACGGCTCTACTTTTTTTATATATTATTATTATTTTATTTTTAATTTTTTAAATTTCTTAATTTCTTAATTTATTTTTGTTTTGCGGTACCTCCAGCTGGTTTGGTAGGTCCTCCATACGCTGCGGAATTGCTGGCGCTTGATGCACCTGAGGTGCCTGTGCAGGCCCTTCATGACAACCCACCGCATTCTCTGCGTGACATGCCTGTGCATGCCCTTCATGACGACACAACGCAGTCCCCGCATAACGGGCTTGTGCTTGCCCTTCATGATGGAGGGCCATTGATGAAGACAGCGTGCAAA